CAAAAAAAAAAATCCATTAAGATACCGTACGTTCGGTCGCAAAGACTGAACAAAATGGTGGATGCTCCGCTCTTTATAGGCCACAAGGGGGAGGGGGAGCGGAGCTTCCCGCCAAAAACTGTTAGCTATCAATCTTCCGGCCAAAGGCACTGTGCAGGCGCAGTACCCATATGTGTGACTGCACAGATGGCCACTCGAAGAACATCAGTTACAGGTAAGCAACCTGCTTTTATCGCACACGTATGCCATGCCTCTTAACCAAAGGCTCTTAGGGCAACTTACATAACATCAGTAAAATACCAAAAAAACAGTTCAAATAACAAAATAATAGAACAGCTAAAATAGAATAACAAAATTAAACCATTAATAATAAAACCATTTAAACCAGTCATTGAAAGAATAAATAATTAATATTGTCTAGCAACTGAACACTCAGCGTGGCAGCAGCAACAATGGTATACCATTATTAAACCACTCACCAAAATGATTGCAAAATAAAAGTGTCTTCAGCAGGCATCTCAAAGAGAAGAGTGAAGATGCCTGATGGATTTCTTTAGGCAGAAGATTCCAGTAGTGGGGTGCTACTACTTCACTGGGGGGAGGGACCCAGAGAAGGGCTTCTGATGAGGACCTTAGTGATCAGGCAGGAATACATAGAGAGAGATGATCCCTCAGATATCCTGGCCCCAAGCCATTTAGGGCTTTCTATGTTAAAATTTATTTATTTATTAAAACATTTCTATGCCGCCCCATTCACTGAAGCCTCCAGGCGGCTCATGACATTATAATACAAAAATAACAATATAAAACTATTAACATAAAATAAATATGGCAAATGAGAGCCAGTGGAACCTGTGAAGGACAGACATAATATATTCAAAAAAGTCAGCCTTAGCATGTGCTTGGCTCTGTTCTGGATCCATTGCAGTGTCCAAATCTTTTTCAAATAAAGCCCTGTGGAGAGCACATTACAGTAAACCAGGCACACGGTTAAGTGCATGGATAACTGTAGCAAGACTCTACTCATCAGGGTAGGGACAAAGCTGATACACCTGCCTAACTTGGGAAAAAGTTCTCTGGCTACCGAGTCCACCTGATAAACAAGTGACAACTCGGGATCCAGGAGCACTGCAAGCGTACAAACGTTGTATTTTACGGGGAGTGCAACTCCTTTCCAGGACAGGTTGAAAGTCCCCCAGTTGAATAGACAGACTTTCCACCAACAGTACCTCCATCTTGTCTGGACTGAACTTCAGTTTACTGGCCCACATCCAGTCCATGCTCAGACACCAGCTTAGAACAGTCACTGCCTCACCTGGGTTAGATGAGAACAAGAAGTAGAACTGAGTGTAGTCAGCATGACACTTCATCTCAAAACAGACGATCTTTCCCAGTGGTTTCATGTAGATGTTGAAAAGCATGGGGGACAGGATGGAGCCCTGTGGAACTCCATGGCACAAAGGCCATGGTGCAGAGCAGTAGTCTCCTAGCACCACCTTCTGAAAATGGTTGGCCATGTAGGAACAGAACCACCACAAAGCAGTGCCCCCAACTCCCAAGTGAGCCAGCCTCTCTAGAAGGCTACCATGGTCAATGGTATACAAAGCCACTGAGAGGTCCAGGAGGATCAAGATGGTCACACTTCCCCTGTCTCTCTCCTAGCAGAGCTTATCCCACAGGACCAAGGCAGTTTCCATTCAAAAATCAGATTTGAAGCCTGATTAATATGGATCCAGATAATCCGTTTCCTCCAGGAGCACTTGGAGCTGGCCAGCCACAACCCGCTTGATCACTTTGTCCAGAAAAGGAACATTAGCTACAGGTCTATAGTTGTTTATGTCAGCTGGATCCAGGCTGGTTTTTTTCAGGAGTGGTGCAATCAGTTTTAAAGCAGCCAGCACCACTCCCTCTTTTAAAGAGGAATTAGCAACCTCCTAGACCCAAAAACAAGTCCCCTCTTTAGATTTCTCAATCAACCAAGATGGGCAAAGATCAAGCGAACAAGTCATAGGCCAGACCGAACCAAGCACCCTATCCGTATCCTCAAACGTCAAGATGTATCAAAAATTAATATCAAGATATGGACTATTATTATCACATGTACCCTGTCATACATAATTATTTTATCTACAAGATCAATTATGGGCAAACTTTTTAGTATGCCTGGTATCATCTTTGGTACTTCAACTAGGGACCAGTAAATTTGCTGTATGGTTGGCAGTAATTTCTGTTCTGTATGAAAATTGAGTTCACACAGACAAGGTTTTAAACCGTGTTGCTGTATGGGAAAAAAATAGAAGTGGGATAAAGGGAAGCACTCATTGAGTTATTCAGCAGTTTGCTCTGAAGTGCAGAGCATGGGGAAGTCTGGCTTTCTTGAGTCTAGCATTATCAAAGCCTCTCTGGGATGCTTTTATTTTTACTTCTGCAAACTGTGGAGTTCCCACAGGGCTGGTGATCCTTCCCCCTTGTGTGTGGATGGTGCTGCTGTTGCAGCAAAAGAATCCACACACACAGAATGAATTTGGTACTGGGGCAAAGCACGGCTCTTTCCTGCTGGCTATGAGCGGAGGAGCAGAGGCTGTGCTTGGAGTCCCGGCTCTGACATTGAAGCAGGTTTCTGAGGTCAGAGCTGATTATCTGAAAAATCCTATGGCTGTCTAGATGCTGTTCAGTGGCCATGGGGTTGCACTGTTCTACATCTGTTCTCATCTCGGCGTCCTGATGCTGTAAATCTATGCTAGATGTTCAGTTTGTTTACATTTATAGATGGAGAGCCTCCTGAATTGTTTCTGATGGATTTACGTGCATTAGATGCTCAGCTGATGGAGATCTGAGTTATGTTGACTTCAAACATCAGAATGATACATGTTTGCAAATACAAGTCAGAACATAATTAATTCAGTGATCTAATCTGAGTTCACATTTGCACCTTTGCAGTCCAGTAAAGCAGTGGGTAAAGTCTGAGCAATGTAAACCAAACTAAACCAAACCCAACAGACTCATGATCTTACTTTATTTATTTAAAACTTTTATATGCTGTCACCACATGCCTTGGCATCTTGGGACGGCTTACAACAAAGCAAACTGTTACTTGAAATAAATCAGATAGTTTATTGATATAGAACACCTACAATCATCATCATATAGAAGATAATTTTGTTAATTTGAAGATAGACAAAGTAATATTGGGCTTTGGAAAACATGAATGTTCAGGGAAAGTCACAAAGAGGCTTCATCAAACAAAACAATATGCATGGTTATATAATGGTTTAAGAATGGCATTGAAATGCTATTAACAAAGCAATCAAAGAAATCTGAATGGCAATCTTTAGCCAGCATCTCACTTGAGTATTGCTAGACATTCTTTGCCCAATTAAGCCCGTGCCAGAGGTTTTGGACATCAGCCCCTATTATCTGTGATGATTGATTATGTTGATTGGGTCTGATGAGAGTTGGAGCCAAGAACATTTAAAGAGTACTAAGTTGGGAAGGGCTGCATCTGATAATTCTACTATGATAGGCAAAATTTGTATCTAGTGTAGTGGAGCATAGAGCCTTTCATGAAACAGTCAGTTTCTTGTTAGTTAGATGTTCCAGTTGTCTCCAGTCAAGCTGTACCGGGGAGAAGAAATGGAAAATATACAACTGAATTTCAGAGAAGAAGAGTGGCTTTAAAGATTTTATTTAGCAGCATATATGTATCACAAACAAACAAGTACATAAATAGTAACGAACACACATACAGTGGTCACTGTATTAATCAGAAATAGAGCAGATTTTCCCAACCCCCCTCCTCCCTCTTTTGCTTCACTTGTGTGAACCTATACAGCATAGATGTAGGGCACTTTGTAACCTGGATCCTGCTTTCCTGCAGATTTTTGCAGAGATAGTTAGACATACTATACATAAGCACATTGGCAAATTCTTTGAAATGTTCCAGTAATGTTAAATTTCCGCATTATCTTCATCTTGTTGCTTCTCTTGTTGCTTTTGATTAGATACAATTCTCATATGGTCTTTATAATCAACAAAGGGTGCAATCCTCAGGAAAAAATTCTCTCTTGACTGGGCATGCTGGGATTCATAGAACTGCTTTGGGCTAAGTATACATAGGATTGCCCCCTAAATTGCCAAGGTCTCCCAAGGACTGTCACTAAGGTTCATCAGAATTCCTTCCTGGGAAATTCTCCATTGCTGTCACCCATTTTCATTTATCATGACTGCTGAATTCAGTGATGTTCTGGGCCTAGCATGAGCAGACCAACACACTGAGCATGAAAAAAGGCAAATTTTCCCCTGGTTATGATGTTGTAATTTAGACTGGGAATATTATGAAAGGTGATGCCATCTTGAACCAGTAATTGATTCTAAGTGTCAAAGAACTCTACTGAGGACAAGTGCAACTCCATGCATATGTCATGTAGTGGTTGGAAAACCATTTCATGTATACCAAGCTCTACTTAAAATTTCAGTGAAGGCTGAAAAAGCAAATGGTACTGAACAGCTGGGGTCTCTTAGTTGGCTTCCATTAACCACTTCCTGACATGGCAAAGTGGAGTGGACTCCTTCAGACTGTAGAAAGATGTATTCTTCTCTCAATTAACGTTCCCCTGCAAGTAGAAAACTAATGCACAGAAAAGCTGCATTAGTTTTCTACTTGCAGGGAGGTGATTGTTGTTTTTCGGCACAGGTCCACATTTAAAAATAGCATCTTCCACTTGTAATGTGTGATAGAAGTGTTTTCTATCACATCAGGTCCATATGACCTAATTTTGCTCCCATTCTGCTACATGTGAACTTGCTCGGACCAAAGAAAACATGAGTAATTTCTTAGGTAATTGTTTATTCATTTATGTATTAATTAAAAGAATACACAACTTTCCCCAAAGACAGCACAGAGAGGCTAGTGACTGCAGTAGATAACAATAAATAAAAAGACAGAAGTTCTATTTCAGTGTTTGTTTGTTCTGATGTCATCTATGTTTGTACATGAACAGGGTTCTGACATAGATTGGGATGACCTCTGGGATCAGTTTGAAGAAAGAAAGTACCTGAGTGCGCGGAGGTGGAAGGGTGGCGAGGACCCTTATCGACTATATGCCTTCAATCAACGGGAAAGTGAACGGATACCCAGTGACCGTGCCATCCGTGACACTAGACACCACAGGTTACATATTCTTTCTTCTCCTAGTTGTATATCAAAGACATTTATTTATTTTCCCACCTTTTTTCCTTTCAAGGCACTAAGGCAACATGCATAATTCTCCTCCTTTCCATCTTATTCTTACAACAACAACCCTGTGAGGTAGGCTGAGCTGAGAGTCTGTGACTGGACCAAAGTCACCCAGTTGGCTCCATGGCTGAGTGGAGACTAGATCCCAGATTTCCTGAGTCCCAGTCCTGCATCCTTAACCACAGCAGTCTCTCTCTTTCTTTCTCATGCACACATGCATGCATGAGAATTTGCTATTTCTTTTTCAGCCTAGTATGATTAAAACAGTTCAGGTTCTATCATCTATACTGGAACTTGGACTGGGGCCTACAGAGATGTGATTATCCTTTCCAAGAAGAATAATTCTATGAGATCTGTAGTATTCTTAGCATTATTTATACTGCTTTTATCACTTTGCAATACTAAAAGTGCTCCATAATATTTCTTGTATTGTTGAAATGTATTTATTTATTACATTTATGTTCTATCCTCTTAAAATCATTCTTACAAGTTGCCTTATAATGATAGGTAAGTTAAACATATTTGTAATGGGTGGGTAACCAGGAATGCTTGAGATTTCTGAAACTCTGCTTCAAATCTATCTGGTTTGCTGTCATTCTAATTTGTGGCTGGTTTAATTTGTTTGTTTTAATAGGAAAAGTGTACTTTCCCCCCCCAAAACTTGTGCATTTTGAAAAATGCGTACTTTTAAGTCACACATTTTTCAAATACTGTGTTTTTAAAGCTGTGCATTTTTCAGAGGCTGCATTTTTTAAAGAAATTGTGCATTTTTCAGAGATTGCATTTTTTTAAAGAAATTGTGCATTTTAAAGCCTCAATTTTACAAGTGCTCACTTTGTGAAAGTGAATGCAGGTTTGCGAATTTTCAAAAAAATTGTAGAACATGACCTGTTGTTTATGTTCAGTTGTGTGAATGGGGTAGTTTTGAAGTGAGGCTTCCATAATGCATAAAAATATAAAAATCATCATAGTTAAACCTAAAAATACAATTATATTGAACTAACAATAGCCCATAATAATATTAAAGCACCATTCCACTCAGTAAAACTAGATAACACAAGATAAAAGCAATGCCACAATAACAATGGCCCAATTTAATTATGAAGAAATGGAAGTACTGTTAAATACATTTTCAATGCCTACTTGAAGATCTGAAATTGTCGAATAGATTGAATGCCAATTGAAACTGAGTTTCACCACTGAAAAAGCCCTCTTCTTTGTGTGTGCCCACCAGCCTAAATGCTTCATAAGCAGGCTCCCTTCTCTGTTCTTCCTATGGAGTCCACATATTGACTGCATCTCCTTAATTTACTTTTTTTACACCAGGTTTCCCCGAATTATGTACAGATGCATTTGTGTTCTCCTTTAAAACCAAGCAGCCTGATGCTTTTGCCTTGACTCTGAGGCTTTTAGCATTAACACTGATATGCCTATAGATGGAATCCTATTCCAGATATCTCGGGCAGAACCTTTTCCCCTATGATTGTCATGTTCTTCCGCATGCTCCTAGACTGTTTCTGCCCTGTGCCTGTTCAGGGGATCAAAAACATTTTCCCCTCATTCACCCACGGAAGTTTTCCAGCTCTTTTCCTCAAGCGGTCAGTATAATTGCTGCTCTGTTCCCCCCTCCCACTTTTGATATTCAGCCCCAGCAGTTCAGTTCTTCCCAGGTGCAGTCTGTCCTTTTCATATTGGCTGGGCTTGTCACACAACATCCCCCAGTGCCTAAAACCTCGTTTTTACAGATAGAAACTCACCATTCAGGAGGGAGGAAGAGTTGACTGCGGAGCATCCTCACCTTGTTTCTCAACTCACACAAGCACTTAATTCAGCTGTCTGCTTAACTTTCTATTACCCTGGTGTTTTGTCTCCAGGACTGGGCTGCTTCCTTAGGCAGAACCCCTCCTCACACTCATGAAACTGGGTTCCCTGGCGTGCCTGTCCTACTTGTATAGCCCTAGCGATCTTCCCCCACATTCTGCTTCAGCCAGTTAGATTAATGGAACTTTGTTTAAGGTGGAGATGTGGCTCAACATCTGAACTCTCCCAGTTTCCAGTGAGTGGTAATACAGGACAGTGGATCTCCCAGGAGATGTTTCTTTGTTATTTAATCAATCAATGAAGTGGACAATGACTGGGGATTAAGGAAAGAAGGTAGTTAGAACCCCCCTGCAAATGCAGGGATCTGATTCACTGCATCCTGCATCCCTGTGCACTCTGACTCAACATATTAGCAGCCAGGACATGCTCCTGCATAGAAGCAGCAGCAGGTTTGGTTCCCTGCAGCATCTCCAGGTAGGGCTAGAAAACACTTTTGCCTGAAGCCCTGGGGAGCTGCTGCCACGAGGCAGTGACCCCCGTGCTGGGCTGGATAGGCCCAGGGTCTGACTCTATGCAAGGCAGCTTCTGAAATTCCCCACTAATCTCTGTTCGGTGATATGCTGGGGGGCCTCTACACACAAGGGAGATGTTCTGGGACGGAGCCCTGATCTCTCCCTGGGAACAGGGCAGCAGGATCCTGTTGCACCCGGCCAGGAAAAGGATTCCACGTGGGTTGGAAGACCATATGTGGGAACAGCTGCTGTGCATGTGGAAGAAGCATGGTGAAGTTGGGCCACTGAATGTATTGCCCTCAACTGTGGAATGTAGACTTCACTGTCAGACTGAGATCAAACAAATCACCTCTCCAGACGATAATCCATCCCAGAATTCCTAAGGCTGCTAAGAGAGTCCAAGTCTGGGCTCAAATGCTTGCAGAACTTTGGTTTTAAAACTAAACCGAAAGCAGTTTTTAATTTAGCAGAGTTCTTCATTTAAATTTCCGCTTACGGGCTCAAGGCAAAACCGGGCCTCACTATGATTGTTGTCAATATAGAGTTTATTACTGCTGGTTTCCCCATCCCATTCTGAACTTAATGTCCTATGAATTTAATTGCCAAGTTATAAACCTCATGTTTATTTATTAATTTGATTTTTTTAACTCCATGTTTTCTCTATGGAAATTGTGCTCACCATGGCTAATAGTAGGCACTATCTAGTTAAAATTAAACACTTTGAAATCTTTGTTATAGCTCATTCATGGCAATTGTTCCATGTCCTTGTAACACACTCCACTGACAGGGGCATGCAACAGAAACCTTATTATAAAACTTAGATACTTCTGGATCTCACCCTGGAGAGGTTGCAATAACCTTCTCCAGATTTCTGCAGAATTACCCTTCCACAGATGTGAATGTAAGCCAGGCCTGACAAATAAATCTTGGGTGTTGATTAGAGATTTCTAAACCATTTTTCTGTGTAAAACCATTCCTTGTTGCTGCAACCATAATGCAACCGTCATGGCAGGAACCAATCTATACCAGATAATATTGCATTGATGTTTAATGGCAAGTACTGCTGCGATTTTCATTTGCTTTCAGACTGTAGCCAGATGCTCTTTCCTCCGGAGGGAAGTTGACAGCCCTGATGGGTGTCAGTTAATAGCTAAGCGGAAAGTATGTCATTCATGGAAAGAAATAACAAATTGAATATTTACCATCTGTCCTATTGAGGAAGGAACTAAATTTAACTTCTCCATTCTTTTATACTGTCTCTTGGTCCAGAGTCCATATTCCTGAGTGCTTGGTGTTGTCTCTCTTCTTTTCCCTTTGTGTAGGTGTATGTGGAGGGTGAGAAGGTCTCATTGCATGGTGCAAGAGATGGAAGGAACATGGATATAGCATGCGCTGATCGTATTTACTTCCTAGTTCCTTCACGTGGTAATTGAGTTCTGATTGATTGAAGTTGTCAGAACAATACTATGGAGGATGTGCCATTAGCTAAGTACTTCCACGATGGAAGGAGGGGTATCTTGAAAGTTAAAAACAGCAGGCATCTGGTAGATTGGGCTGGAGGAAGTCAGAAAGGGAAAAGCACAGGCAAGGAGGCGGAGGGGCAGAGCTCCCAATGGGAAATACGGGCTGTCATTGGACAGCTGTTTGGGGAGATTCGGCACATACATCAAGCACCAGAGTGCGCTTCGCAGGCAGGCTGTGCCAGTGCACGTCAATGGAAGGAGCGGCCGGGACCTGTTCATTGGATCGCTCAGCCCTGGCTGGTGGGCTAATGGGAACTGTCAGCAGCACAGCCTTGGGGTCCGGGAGGCTTCCAGGATCTGAACATTTCGGCAATTGACAGTGGCGGTTCATCCAAACAGGCTTGAATGTGGTGAGCCTGCAGAGTTCGTCTGAGTTTTGAGGCTAATTTGCCTAACATGTTGTTTGAATTTCATATTTTAAAGAGCGGGAAGGGAATCGGTCTTTCTCACCACGTAGCCCAGGGAAGCGGACACGTTTTCTCTGCAGAGGACTGTAGTCTGTTGAGGTGGGTGCGACAGGGCCTGCATTCTTGTATGGGCTGGACGAAGCCAGCAATGGGCAGGATCAAAGCCAAAAGAGAGTGGGTCATTTTTTTCACTCCCCCACTTAAATCCCTCCCTCCCCCCTCCCTCCCTCTCCTTTTGCACCAAGTGGGCTGCCAGAGAAACATGGAAACAGAGCAAGTCAGAAGGGGCCTCCCAGCCATCTAGTCTGACCCCCGGCTCCGCTCACGACATGCCCACCATGTGCATGTCCAGCCTATCTTTGCACACCCACACCTATGGGGCCTCAGTGACCTCTCATGGAAGCCCATTCCACACCCTCGGGGTCCTAACTGTCAGGAAGTGCTTCCTGGCATCTTGGTTCCCTGAGCTTTGCTCTGTTGGAGCGCGTCCTGCCTCCCTCTGCAGGTGAGAACAGGTCTCTACCCATCTCTGTGTGACATCCCCTCACATACCTGTATGTCACCAACATATCCCCTCTGAGTCTCCGCTTCTCCAGGCTGAAGAGACCCAGTTCCCTCAGTCTAACCTGGCTATATCCTTCTGTAATGAGGGGCCCAAAGGGAGATACTAC